ACAACGTTCTGATTCAGAGGTAAGAGTGCTACTACTGAGCTAGGCTAACATCTAGGTTTGAATGCTACTAATGATATGAAGCAACACATGGAAGGATAAAATCCAACTGATCAAATAGATTAAAAACAATTTAATTTTGAGAAATGTAAAGTAACAGATAATGGTCCTGAATTCAGTGCGTCCAAAAGGAAGAAAATATTATATTTTTTAAATTCAGGAGAATTTTGGCTCTTGTAATATTTGCCAACATTGAAAGCTGTTGGATCATAGAATAACCGCTTCAAATGGAAATAGGAATTATAAGTAGATCCAATGCATACAAACAAGGATTGAGGTTTCCTGAGGATTTTCTTGCCTTGCTGCAGTTTTTTCAACCTTCTTTCTCACATGGTAACACTGACACATAAGTGATGCTGTTACCCAGCAGCAGTGAATGTTTTGTAGCTTTACAGGGAAAAAATAGGTGGGCAATATAACAATCAATCATACGCACCAGAAAAAAATGGGTTTACTTCTCAGTAGTGGACCGTGCAATTTGACAACCCAGTGTACCCTACACTCTGACAACATTAGTTCAATCATTGCTTGTTTCACAGAGAATTAAACATTCTGTTGCCAGCAAAAAGAACATTGCTTTTGATGACATTCAAACAATTCTTGATAATGGCAAAGAACGGAATGTAACTAGATAGCTTGTTCAAAAGGACCCTTGCCTTGTACTTGCAAATAAAATAACAAATGTCTATTCATTTTTTAAACCAGTCTTTGAATTCTCTTAGCAAGACACATTTTTATCCTGGAGGCAAACAACAATCCAAAGACTCTGTTTTCCACTGTCCATCACCTTCTCCGTGCACCCCCTTCAAGCTCCCTCGATCCTCACGTCAAATGTGATCCAGCCCATTCAAAGCTCTGCCGCCCGCATACTGACGCAGACCGAATTTCGTACCCACATCTCACCAGTTCTTGCCAGCCTCCACTGGCTCCCCATCACCAAACGGATTGACTTCAAGATCTTCACTCTCACGTTCAAATCCATTCACTCCCTGGCAGCTCCATACCTCTCCGTCCTCCTCACCCCCAATCCACCACCTGGTGCCTCCGCTCGACTGGCATCAGCTTCTTGCTCGTCCCTCGGACCATTCACCCCACTATCGGACGTCATGCTTTCAGCCACTATGCCCCAGAACTCTGAAACACTCTCCCTCAATCCTTCCGCCTCGCCCCCTCTCTCAAGTCCCGCCTGAAAACTTACCTGTTCGACCATGCTTACGGCTACCTCCCATACCACCCAGCTTGGAGTCAGGCTCCACCACTGTTAAGCGCTAAGGAGTTAAGCGTTAAGGAGATCTCCCTTCTTCATGCTCCATTTCCAAGTACTGTACTGAAACAAAGATTAACTTAGGTCTTTCACGACCACACTCACTTCACAAGATTAGGACAATTTTGGTGTGTTTGTTATAACTATATAGCTTTCACTATACCCAATGCTTCTCTGCAACCGGTATCTCCATCCCTGACAAGGTTATCTTGGCCTATTTTGTCATCTTCCTCACCCACCATATCCCTCTCCCTGATGCCAAGCTCGCCACCATATTGTTTCACCCTTGAGGAAAAACTACCCTCCCACTCTTTTTCAAATGCTCGAGTCCTCTGAACTCCTCCAATTCTGCTCTTCTCATAGTGACCTTTACGCATCCATTGAGCTGCCTAACAACTTTTTCGCCTCAATCCTTAACATCCTGTCCCCTGTCAAATCCTGAACTGCTTCTTATCACTGCAAGTCCTCCTATTACAACAGTCAACTGTGCTCATTACACTCCAGCACCTTGGGATGTCCTCCCAATGTGAAAGATGCTGTACAAATGTAATTTGTTGTTGTCGTCAGAGTGCACATGGCCCAAATCCAGCCTCACAGCTGGTATACCAGCTGCCTTTTTGCACTAAATATCAACTTTCTCACTCTCGTTCATGTTGACTTTATAATACAAATGTACTTTACAATATGTATTTTACAATAGCACACAGTAATTTTTTTAAAAGTACATATAAGGCAGATTTTACACTGGCTACATTTATGCAGTCACTGATACAAAATGGCAGTGATGTGAGACTGTCCTTTGGTGACCAGCACTGGCAAAGCTAATGGGCACTCTTCATAGGTGCACTGAATCTTTCAATGTGACACAACTCCTAAAGGTGCAATAGGGAAATGGGAATTTTCTCAGGGAATTCCTGGCAAAGAATCCTCCATTTTGGCTGTTTGTTTCCTGTGTGCAAATTAATTATCGCATTCACACAGACACTAAATTCAACAATTAGTATTATAAAGCACGCGAGGTGGAGGGCCTTTATCAAATGCAAAGTATGAGACAACATTTTACTCACATAATCTGTGCTCAATGCATGGAGCGCACACTGATGGGCCAGTTCAACTGCCCAGTTTACAAAATCCTCTGCATGGGAGGGCTGCTGCTGAATTAGTTTGTTTTGCTGTGTCCAAGCTTAGATAAATGTCATGTACGCCTAAATGGACCCAGAATATTTTCTCCCAATGTTTTCTTTAACTTCAAGGCAAAGAAGGCCGGAAGACAGGACAAAATACAGGGAGCTGATGAGGCAGGAAGAAGAGTATTTTTAATAATGCAAGGTACACTAGGATCTAGAGTAAGACTGATGTCCAAACTGATTTCACATAAGATCCACAAAGTCAAAACTGTCTAGCTGAATCCAGTCAACATCAGTCTCATATGGATTCAAATCCCAGGATCAATTTATTTCCTTATTCATTTATTTTAGAGCAATGATGATTCACATGCACAATAACATTTCCCTATTTCACATGTGACATTCCTGCTCCTATGACCAATCATGGAGGTTTTTTTAATTGTGGCTGAAGGTTTTTATTTTGGAAAGTTATGTTTTTAATAATGTTACTACGCTGTTGTTTACAGGAGCGGGGACTCTGCTATTCTCTATTCAACTGCAACTTGCATTTATATAGCGCCCTTCACAATATACAGTCAAAACCCACATTAGGGTTTTGGAATCCAAAGAGGGTCATTTAATCTGAATGAAGTCTGTTCAACAAATTAGCAACCGTTTTTCAAAACAATAAAATCAGTTATTGACTGTTCCGCCTTCCTCAAACACAAGCACTCTTTAAATATCCTGTGCCTGTCCCAGATTATTACTCAAGTTATTTCATTAATCATTACAAGCACCTGCCTGTAGCCATGTCAGCCCTCACCAACCTATTTCTTAAAGGGCACTCCTCATTCTCTGCCTTTCAGCCCTGGGATATGTCCATCCTGTCACAGAGGGCTTCCAGCACCTTGGAATGTCCTTCTGATGTGAAACGCACTAAATAAATATAATTCTGAGGTCATTATTAGGATATGCAGTGTCCTTCCAAAAAAATGGTGACGCAATGAGAATTTGTAATAGCTTTCAAAAAGGAATTAAACATATTTGAAAAGAAAAAGATAGGAATAGGAATGGGGTAAAGGTAAAGGGAGAGGGGCGATGGCTTGAAAAGCCTTCACTGTGCTAAAAAAAAATCCTACGAGGCTATAAAAAGTTGAAAAATTGACACGTAAATCTCAAGTTAGCTGCACTATGGACTTTTCTCCAAGTTGTTTGAAATTAGATTATTGTATCTCTGGTTTTGTTAATTCTGTGTATAGCATCAGATGAATAATCACAGAATACCAAGGGAAATTATTTAATGGATAGATACTAGACTAGATAGAGAACAGCGGTGTCTACTGTGTAAATGTTGAGTCTCACTACTGGGTGGAAGTTGCATTAGATTTGACGCAGGTGTTTTGTTTACTACAAGCCACAGGCTTCCAATGTATACTCTATTCGTGATGTCACGCAAAGCAGCCCCAAAATATGAGGAAAATGCAATAAGGCAACGTTAAGTTAAACTCTTAACATTTTTAAGAAATTATTATTATTATTAAGGAGCAAAGAAGACACTACTTGGGTGGTCTATAATGAATTAAACCAATTAAACCACTCCTGTCAAAATTAGGTTAAACCCAACATTCTTCATAAGGAACATTTTGAATAAAACTGAAAAAAATTACTATTTAAATTAATTTGATGCACAACGATTATTCCTATTTTTTTGGTCAGCCAGTTGTCTGACACATGCGGAAGAGCTTCACCATGCTTAAGATTATCCAAACCAGAGTTCCATGCATCCCACCTATACATGGAAATTCCAGAGATATTTATTAGGATGCAATGCACATTCTCTCTCTGGAGGGATGAACCCTGATTCCCTAATTCCGCGAAGTATTAGGTCAGGTTGGCAAAAGTCAAGTTTTAGGGACCCCAGAGTGTGCATTAAGGTACTGCTGGAAGCTAACCAGCTAATCCGCATAGCTTGCCATTGAGAGCACTGCCTGGCAAGCTTTCCCACTGCTTGTCCAGCTAAACCCAGTAGGCCTTTGCAGAGTTTACAGGAGCTGAGTGAGAAGAGCCCCTGCCCCCAGGGACTGGTCTGCCCCTTCAGGTTCTGCTGATGGGCCAGGCTGGCTGGGCTGTCATCAGCAGTGCTCTGGAGTAGTGCGGACCCAGCTGGCTCAGGAACTGGACTGCTGAGACTGCCACAGATGGTGGGCTCGATTGTGACATTCCATCCCTAAACATGCCACCTTGGAAACCTTGCTTACCACCCCCACCCCTTCCCCCCCAAAAAAAAGAAAAGTCACTAAGTTGTTAATTGGCAATCCAACAAGTGCAGATTTGAGGAACTCCCTGCAAGCTTGTCGGTGGGCAACGCAGCTCAGCATGAATGCATAAAAGCACTGCCACCATCTGCGTAGTGCCACCATCCGCAGCTTGAACACAAATCCCTTGCCATTGAGCGAAGACTCCACCAGTTGGAGTTGTTAAGCTTAAGAAGCAGTTGCTTACCTCTCTGCAAGCCAATTAAGGAAGTAATGTTTCCAAATCAGAACTGGCCATCTTGCACACAAAAGAGAGCATTGACAAGTATTCATTTTTAATCATAGTGATTACGAACCCATATACAAGTATTTACATCTTCAAGCCACCAAGAATATTTCTAGATTAAAATCATGCAATATCCACTTTGATTAAACATTATAACTTCATTCTGGATCATTTGCTCAAAATCCCAATACAATTTGGCCCTAATCATGGCCATAATATCCAATTTGTTGGATACTTTTACAGCATTATTTAAACTTTGGGTCATGTATCACACTCCTCCTTCTTCTTGCACTCCTCCCCACATAAACCCAGTTACTAGCTAATTACCAACGATAATGGTGAATTCATACTTCACATTTATTTGCCAATGCTCGGGATTTTGTCAACAAATGGGAGTCTAGATGGGATAGCACAAGTTAAGCAGGCCTCACCTATGCGTTATTAAACATACTACTATTTTTAGAGATTAGCACAGGATAATACTATTCTTTCCATTTGATAGAGCGCCCTACAACATCAAAAACATTTCAAAGCGCTCCACAGAATTGTTTCTGTGATGTGTAGTGAATACGTATTTGTAGGTGGTTGAGGCAACCCATTTGGATAGAGCAATATCGCACAAACAACCATGAAGTAAATGACTGAAAGCCTGGCAAAGCAAGTCTTGAAGCAGTCTTCAACAATGGGGAGGAAGAGAATGAGTTGGAGGGATTCCAGGATGGAATTCTAGAAAGCGCGGGGTGGGGGAGTGAGCAAAATGTCTGATATCTCGCCCATCGATGGGGAGTGTGGGGGACATCAAGCAGGTCTGTGTTCACTGAATGAACGGAGCGTCTAATTGGGGGGCCGTGGGGGTGATGGTCGTGGGGGTAGAGCAAATCTGAATAACACAAGTTTCAGCTATTGATTTAATAGTGCATTCCAAAATAACCTGAATTACCTACAAATAATCACAACTATGTATTGTTACACAATGGAAACTCCACATTCAACATGAGCCATCTTACTTAAAAACTCAGGAGGTCAAGACTGCAACAGAAGGGTTAAAAATATTCAAACAAAAATACAAAATTAAGAACTCCTGGAAAACCAAAGCACTGAGTCAAGCAGACTGCAGTCGAAGGATTAGAAATATTTGTTAAAAAAAATACAAAATGAAGAACTCCTGAAGAACCAAGGCACTGAGTCAAGGGAATCTTCCTGCTCACTTGTTCTTGATTTGACAGTAGAGGATCATGGAAAAGATCAGTCCAAAAAGCTGTGGGGTTAAAAAAACAGTACAACTGTGTTACTGCAGAAATGTTATGTATATATAAATATATTTTTTGGATATACACATATATATATATATATATATACACACATACACACACAGCGGAAGCTGCTTAAGCCAGATACATTGGGCAATTTTGTCCGTCTTAAGGAGGGTCTGAGGCTAACCGAAGCTCTTACTGTCTCCTCCCTCGCAATGCTGTTCCCATTCAATGAAAGGGACCAATCAGCAGCGGCTCCGAGGTGACTGACAGCCTGAAGTTGCTTGTGATTGAATGAGCAACTCCGCCGCTCATTCACAAGCGGCTCCAGCTGTCAATCCATGTGATTTGACTCCTCCCATTCCCTCCCTTGTTTCTTCCCTGTTCCTCTGCCCCCCACCATCCCCTCACTGATTGACAGCCCAGAGTCGCTTGTGAATGGCTGGAGTGCGCTGTCAATCAATCGCAATTTGACGCCTCTCGTTTCCATCCCGGAGCCACTCGTGGCGAGTGAGTAGTCGCGTTTTGTCCAGAGTAAGCAGAATTTTGTCCAAATAACCGGCATATTTAAAACAGGCAAGAATACAAATGAATCGGGGCTGGGCGTTTTGTCTGATTTACCCAGCGTCTGGCCAAAGCAGCTTCCACTGTGTGTACATTACATACACATGCGTGCACGTTCTCGTAAACCAAAGTACTTGATGTTGTAAAGAAGTCAGAATAATAGTTTACCTCAACTGCTAACAGGCCAAAGGCAACACCAATAATTATCATTTGGTTTGCCTCTAAAACCTCAGCTATCTTGACAGAACATGTCTGAAAGGAGAAAGAAAACAGTTGTCAAATACCAAATAGTACTTGAAACAACAAAGAAGACCATAGTTTAACAAGTCATGGTGTAATCTTCAGTCAAATGAAATATATGAAACAGCAATTAAACCCCCCAAAATTAAAAGTTTGAATGACTCAGTCTAAGAAAAATCCAGAAATATATTCATCTAGGGAATAAATAGCATACACCATAGATAGAAATGTTCATCTGGCCAGAAGTTTACTTTCATCCTTCATGTCAATTTTTTTTCAGACTTATTTGAATTTAGACATACTTAAACCTACTTTGTTACAAAATATGATGGCTTGAAGCAAAGGTGAAATAGATGCACTGTAAGAAAGTGCAAAGGTGAGTTTTTTTTAAGGAAGCATAAAATTATAATGCACTAATAGTGACTGGGAAATTTAACAAAAAATCCAGTGTTTGTAAGTATATTAAACACACTGTACCAGATACAGTTGATTGAGACATTCCAAAGAGAAATAGATACCCAGCTTTAGTCTTAAACATAGTGCCACATTGTGGAAAATTCTTAAATTCAGACTACTTTGGAACCTTTCTGTTAATAAAATCAGCCTCCAAATTGAGCTTGAATTTAAGAAGTTTTGACAGTTCTACGCCCTCTTAGGTTTTAAGACAAAATAGCCTTACAGGCAAAGACTGGATGGAACTTTGGGTCTCTACCAAGCAAAGATTTTAAGGCATATGGGGAAAAATAATTCAAAGAGTCTCCATATATGTAATTGTAGGATAGATTCATAACTGATTGACATCAGTTTACAAAGCTTGGAAATTCACCCTGAGTGAATTCAAAATCTTGTGAACATAGTTACTTTAATAATTGAAAAACATTGACCTCATTTAAAATGTTATGGTTTTGCTCAATCTCCAATGGGATTGCCAACATAAGCAGAAATCAATGCAATTTCACCCATAATCAGAGTTATTTAAAATTATAATAATCCTTGCACTTCACGTAGTGCTTCAGCACATCATCAAAATGTCTCAAAGTGCTTCACAGGATTTACTTTAAGGTGCAGTGATGGCACATCGATAGAAAAGCTATAAATGACTGAATAAACCTAAAGTTTCAAACAATCGGCAATTTAAAAAAAGTACTCCTAATCATTTCCGTTTGATATCAAAACCTAATCATGGTTTATTTTTGTAAGTTAACAGCAGTTGAGGTACCTTGCTCCAGTATGAACCATCAGGTGTTTTTATGCATTCCGACGATGATTGAATATCACATTTGCAGGATTCTGGAACAAGTTTACTTCCCCAGTCTTTGTAGCCATTGAGCAGACCACAGCATTTAAACTTAAATGCAAAACAAAGGAAAACATAAAAGTGTATTAATGTAAAAGGTCTTAGTGTATGAGGAGCAAAATAATCCTAAAGATGAAGAATATTTTCTTTCACCACTACACAAGCAGACATACAAGCCCCAGTTTAATAGCATATGTAAACAAATGAGATGAGTGAGCTGCATCTAGTTGGGAATCACATCGCAAGATTACAAGAATGGTTTTGATTAGGAAGCCCCTTCTGCCCATCCTTCCAGAATGTCCATCCTACCATCTCCGCTCCCCCACAGTCATACCAGGATAACAGTTCTGTTCTTTTTATACAACATACAAATACATTTTTTAAAGTACGTTTAATTTAAAGGAATACAAATCCTACATCCATGTACGTCATTATGAAGGGATGAACCAATTACCTGGAATGATTAGTTTTGAAGGGCAATGCTTGTTTGCTCACCAGATTTCTTGTGCATTTTTCTAGCTTATGCTTTTTTTTACACAAATGTTGCAATCCCTGTGGTGCACTTCTGAGATGGGTGGAGGGGGAGGGAGGGTTGTCAAACTCAATGTTGGGCAGATTGTAGGAAGCTTTACTATGTATCTAACCCATGTTATACACCCAACCCTGGAGTTCTCAATACTGACTCTGGTACCCAAAATAAGAAACATTGCATTTCTGTTTGTTTCCCCTTCTCTGCTATTTTTCTCTTTCTTCAATTTCTACCTTGGATGGAATTTTTTTGATGGATGTTAGATTTGACAAGTGCAGTCAATGCTAAAAACCTTGAAGAAATGTTGTTACTCAATTTATATTTGACTTAGATACACAAATGTCTAAAAATTTATAGATTCTGTAACATATAATCGTACCAATGGAGATGCTTCTTAATACCAAAATCATAGTTAACATGAATAGTGAATAACATGAATAACACTAGTGCTAACTAAGGAAGTAACCTGACTACAAGTGCTTATTTTCTTTCATGATGGGCATCGTACAAAATTGTCATCCAAAATTAGTGTCGACTTACCTTCTCCTGCATCAACTCTATCTCAGTTTTAATCTCTTCTGATTGTGTATTTAATGGCACTAAAGCATGAAGACTATCATTTAACTTTGATTCAGTCTGGGGGGAAAAAAAGAGCATCTGGTTCACCTTTAAAAACAATCTGGAAGTATAATCTTAATTGGAATACATTTAAGTTCATTTTTTTTAAAAAAGCAAAATGAGAAATATTATGAAAAACATTACCTCTGATTTATAAACTGCACCTAAAACGCCAGCAGTTATTTGAAGTGCCAGAATAAGAAACAGGCCAATAAAAAACTGAAAGAAGAACATTCCATTAATAAGGTTTTGTATTTTATAAATACACTTGGCAGATAAATAAAATATCTAACTAGTGTGAAATTATATTCCAAGAAAACATGGTAATAACAACTCTGACATTCATCCATTACAGAAATGTTCATTAGTTTTTTGCAAGCTTCATGCACCCGCACTCTCATTTATTTGGATCTATCTTCAATTCTTTCCTATTCTCTTAGCCCATGAGGGTAAAGCTTTGAGAGTGAATTATTCATTTATTTTATCAAATGCAGGTGACACATTTCTCTGAAAGTTCAATTCTCTTCCCAGTTATTTGGCCATTACATTGGAAATAAACGAGAATTCCAATAAATCAGAATTTGGACTAAACACAGGCTATACACATCCAGAATAAATACAGCACAAAAATCACTTTAATCCAGGATATGATCTTAGCTCCAATTCTTGAATTTTGGACTTGAAGGTTCCGTTTTATCCATTCTAAATGATATTGTTTTGCCCTAACTAAATGTTCTTCTTTTCGAGTCCTGATTCAAAACCCTCCTCTTCGACCATGTCATCGGCCAACCTCCTTCCCCTCCCTTCCCCCTGCCAACCCTAGCCCGGGTCTGAAATGCTGTACTCTGTCCAGTGCCTTGGGACGTCCTCCCGATGTGAAAGGTGCTATACAAATGTAATCTTGTGTTGTTCTTATAATAATCCTTGCATTTGATTTTGTGCCTATAATGTCAAACACCAAAGGTCTTTAAAGTAATTACTATTAAGTGTATTGATTATTTTCTTGCAGATAAGCTTGCCCAAGGTTTCGCCCTGCCGGGAATCAAACCCAGGTCTCTCTAACCACTGAGCTACAAGACTCCAAAAAGCGGATATCACATCTTATCACATCTTTGAGAGTCTCAAAGCGGTTTACAGAATATATTGTAAAGTGAATTGACTGTATATTTTGTGGGCACCCAATTGCACACAGCAGTGTCCCAGAAACAGTCGTGGATTGAAGTGACCAATTTATTATTATTATTTTTTTGAAGGAATTATTACTCGCAGAAAAGTGATCTGCCAATTGACTAATAACCGGGTTCCTACTTATTGCTACATAAACAGAGGCGTGTGGAGCAAGGAAACATTTTGCCCTGCTGGGAATTGAACCAAGGTCTCTTGCTTGAGAGGCGACTAAGCTCCAGGTCTCCACAATATCCCACAAACAGACAGGAGGTGAATGATTAATTACGTAAAGGATTGTGAAACTGGCCATCGCAGATTCATTATGAATCAGGTTGGATCCCAAACCAGTAAGATAATAACTTCCCTCAAGATCTTCCTGCAATATTAACCATTCCAAAGGCGAAATCGGTGACTGCTTCTACACTCTGCTCTGAACTAGCCTCCATACTGATGCTATTCTTGGACTCCGAGTTTTCCTTTGCTCCATACAGAACCTGATCCTATCCTCATGTGACATCCACACAGACGCACCTACCGATGGGGAGAACTCGATACCAACCTAATTTACCCTCACTAATTCAGGTATGCAGAATCCAATTGTAGTGTCCGCCCTTACTGCCATCCTTAAACATATTCAACACTGAGTTTGATAGATTCCTAAGGGATAGCAGAATTAAGGGATATGGGGATAAGGCAGGCAGATGGAGTTAGGTTAGAAGATCAGCCATGACCTTACTGAATGGCGGGGCAGGCTCGAGGGGCCGAATGGCCAACTCCTGCTCCTAATTCCTATGTCCTACCTGCAGTGAGATAACTCAGCATAGGACTTAAACAGGAAAGTTCAGGTGAAGAAGGTCCTTCAGCTCATTTGATCTCATCCTTCCAGAATATACTCCCTACAGTCCTCCCAACATGGTTTCAAGCTAATTAGTGCTGCATCCTGATCTCAAACCCTTTTCTTGGTAACTTGCACCAGTCAGGAATTACCCTGCGAGTAGAGTTGTGACCTGAAACTGTCCCCACTATCATAATTCTAGGCCCTCTTGTTCAGCTTCCCTGGCAGATCTGAAAGTATTCAACGTTTATTTTCTCAATTCCATTTAAAGTCTTATATACCTTTATAAGCTCCCCTCTGGGATGGCTTCTTTCTAGACTGAAGAACCCTAGTTTATCTAGTTGTTGCTCATAGTTCATTCCTTCAGCCTTGGGGATGACCCTTGTTGCTCTTCTCTGTGCTGCCTTTAGTGCCCAGTGTAGAACAACCAGACATTAAACCACAATAACAAGAACTGTATGTTGCACTCTAGGTGTGGTCTGATCAGAACACATACAACTTGAACATGACTTCTGGAGATCTGAATCCAACCCATTTCGCAATATAGCCCAGCGTCCTGTTTGTTTCATTTACTGCTGCCTGATGCTATTTTGAGAGCGATTAATGAGTCTATTCACACCTCTGTGGTTTTTCAACTTTCCCTTGACAAGTTCTAGACCATCTATGCAGTATTCCCTATTTTTACTAATAATTTTACTTTCTATGTTCAGTACCTTGCATTTTATCTGTATTGATTTCCATTTGCTGTTCATCAGCCCATATTCATACCTTATCAAGCTCGCTTTGTAAAACTTACCTTGATTCACTAAGCCATTGAAGGAAGATTTGCTTTTTTAAAAAAAGTTATGAAGATTATAACCTAACCAAAAATGTAGTTACCCTCCATCAACAATGGAAACCAAAATTCTTATCAAGTAAAGATCAAAGACAGGAAAGCTTTGTGAATAAATACATACCAGGAGCAACATGCATTTGCTTTCTTTAATCGCTCCGCAACAACCTAAGAACCCAAGCACCATAATGATGGCCCCAATACCAATCATAAGATTAACAGCAGGATAAAGACTTGGCAGATCCAAGCTGGAGTTCTGCAATGAGAAGGACAAGTAATGAAATTGAAACAATAAAGAATGCAATTTAAAAAAGCTAAAAATCATATTTTAAAAAAAAATAATTGAATGTACTTTTAATGTTAAAAAATTTACTTTTATTTGAAAAACATATTCTCAGCCAAATAAGAACAACAACTACAAGTTCCATTTATATAGCGCCCTTCACGAGAGTATCATTTTGGGAGTTCTTGAAAAGAAAAATGTAACTCAGCATCATTCATTATTAGGGAACCGAGGTCACACTTAAAGGTTGCAAAAGGTAATTTCAGGACAGAGATCAGGAACTATTTCGTTACCCAGAGAGTAATTAATGACTGGAACAAATTATTAGGAAGAGTGGATGAGGTCAGAATGTTGAACCCATTTTTTTAAAAAAAACATAGCACTGTGATGGGAGGGTGTATATTCTGGAAGGATGAGATCCAACAGGCCAGGGTGGTCCAACCTCTTGGCTGCTGAGGGCCAGGTGCCTATTTGAGAAACGTCCACAGGCTGCATAAGCATAACATTTACTGGTTATAGAGTGCGCGGGTGGCCCAGATGAAATTAAAGTGGGCTGGTGGGGGGGCGGGGGGGGTTGTTGTGAGGAGTGCGGACGTGAGCCACCAGTTGGACCATCCTGATAACAGGCCAAAGCACTTACTTCATCTGAACTTCTCTTGTGATATTTACTGTAACTGATCAAAACAACATGTGGTTTAGGTATCAAGATTGCAGGTTCTCGCTGGGATAAAGATACAAACCACGAATGTTTCTCAAAGTTTATGATATTTTGCAAATTTCGCAATATGTTAAAGTCCAAGGATGGACTTTATTATGACTTTATTATGGCTCATAAACATCAAACACTTATGAATTTGTACAATATTAATGATAATAATCCTTGCATTTGATATAGCCCATTTTACTATGATTATGAAGAATCTAGTTAAAAGGGGATCACTGCAAATATACAATTAACACAGTACAATTCTAATGGCTTATAGAGGCAGGGGGCAACCGGAAAAAAATCAAAACGTATGATTAGAAAATTCCAATTTAATTTTAAAAATCCTTACTTTTGATACAGTATTTTTCACAAGCACTTCAAGGATTATAATAATAACTAATCATAATATACAGTAAATTGAAGTGCCTATGCATTTTGTGGGTGAACACAGCAGCCAATTTGCACACAACAAAGTCCCAAAAAACAACCATGAAACAAATTGCCCAAGGTTTCGCCCTGCCGGGAATTGAACTCAGGTCTCTTGCTTGCAAAGCGAGTGCTCTAACCACTGAGCTACAGGACTCCACATGTCATTGTGGGGGGAGGTTGTTGTGCAGGACAGCATTAATTGAAAGAAAATACAGTATGTTTTTTTTTGCTCTAAGACATTGTAAAACCATGGTTACCTCTGGCATAGTATCACTAACACGAAGCCATATTGAAACTCCAAGTATCACAGAACCACACAACTGAAAGAAAACAAAGGCTCAACATCAGTTAAAGTGCTTTGCAAATGGCAGATTTAGCTACACAATCAAAACAACTCACTGTATCTTTTAATTCTCAAATATCAAACTCAAATATTGTGATACATTTTCAGAAACAATAAAAAAAACAAAATAAATGTGGAAGAACATGCATCAGCAGATAATTGTGTGTATGACCTCTTAAAGATATTTTCAGATAGGACATATTGCTGAGGGAAACTAATCGGATATCTGAATTGAGTCACCCGAGTTTTGAGAAGGGGAGGACGGGAATCGTGGCGTGTTCATTAAGAGAAATAAAAGGGGATGGTGAACAGTTCAGATTTCACTGCTTCACAGGGGATGAAATAGGAAGTTGTGATGTCTAAATTGTACACAGAAAGAAACATTCCCCAGCAAAAGAGCATTTATCAACCTCTATCAAAAGCAACACATGATACTTTGCAATCACCCCCCCAACCCCCCAAGCAATAGTTGACTATGATGACTTGAACCTTTGAACTGAACTAGACAACTGCATCCATATCTCTGGTCAGAATCTCGAGCTTGAATTTGGGCTCATTGTAAAGAAATAAATTGTCCTGTTCAAATGAGGATCAGGTTGAGAACTTTCCTTCTTTTTTTAAACAAAAAACACAACAGGAAAGAGCAGAGAACATAAACCAAAAAAAAAGTAAAATTGAAGGGGAAGAATGAAGTTCGAGAGACATGTAGCCACGTTTTAAGACTCAATGTGGGAGGTTATCTGTTCAGAGCTATTTGGAAGAGGTGACAGGCGAAGGGTCGATCGCCTTATTTTTATTTATTTATTTAGCCATCGTCCTGGTATGGTTGGTGGGTGTGGTTGGTGGTGTTGGTGGTGGTGCGGGGGGTCTGTCTTTGTTGATCGCCCTCAAGAAGCGCAAATACACACAACTAAAATAAAACTTTTGATGTTCTTCCTCGCGCCGGATCTGGGTTGTTTTATTTTATTGTTGATTGTTTATTTATTTATTATTTTATTAATTTATTATTTTATTGGTTATTGGCTCTAAAGTGAACTGGTTTCGAAACAGATGGGCTACAGTAGAGCCACTTTCTTGTTAAAAAAAACATTTAAATCACTGCCATGGTGTCGATTCGCTTCCCGACCCAGTGTTTTTGTTCTAAAAAAAATACGATTAAATCTTAACTTGGGAAAAGAAAAGAAAAAAAAATTAGCCCGGACTGAAAAAAAGCAAAAACCAAAAAATATATACATATATATATATATATATATATACTGAAAGCAAAACAACAACAAAAAAATACCCTTCGGCTGTGCAAGTTGGGAGAGAAAAAAAAATGTAGAGAGTTACTTCCAAAAGGAAACTTACCCAAAATACCAAGTTGAAGAGAAACATGGAATATTTGATGCATGTGTTGACCCCAGCCATCGTCCTGGTGTGGGTGGTGGTGTTGTTGGTGGTGTGGGTGGTGGTGTTGTTGTTGGTGTTGTTGGTGGGGGGTTCTGGTCTGTCTTTGTTGATCGCCCTCAAGAAGCTCAAATACACACAACTCAAATAAAACTCTGTGATGTTCTTCCTCTCACCGGATCCGGGTTGTGAATGTGTTTTTTTCAGGAAGCAAAATGTGGGCGTTAATGAAGGGTTCACCTGAGAGTCAGTGAGTGAGTGAGTGAGTCAGAGCCCCCTCTCCCCTCCCCACCCACTCCCCACCCACTCCCCTCCCCACCACCTGCAACAACACACGTCTCTGTCCTTCCAGCCTTTGTTCGCTGTTCCCCTCCCACTGTAAGTGCTCCCTCTCTCCCACCCACTTAGTTACATTTAAGACGTGCATTCCTCACCCAGTAATTTAATCGGTTCGCATTGTTATTATTATTACTATTATTAGAATTATTTCAAATGTGCTCACCTGCTCTGGTGTGAAAGGGGAGAGTGGTCAGAGACCGAGTGTTAGGAGTTGCACTGGGACCCACTCAGCCACCGCCCAGAGTCTGTCTGTCTGTCTGCCTCTCCTGGTCTGTTTGGCCAAGTGCTGCATCTGCAAAGGATGGTCAGGGTGAAATCTTTCCAACCAGGACACGCCTCAACAGAAGCATCACGACAGGGTTTCTGCTCACAGCACTGATAACAGGGGCCATTCCCTCCAGTTGGTTTATGTTAGTGACTGTATTCCACCAGAACCTCTACCCATTCCTTACACTCCCCCTTCTCTCTCTCTCTCTCTCTCTCCACACTCACTATATTCTCTCCTCTCCTATGTAGTTTCCTGGAACATCATCCTTTGCTTCAAGCATGGCTTTTCCCAGTAAGTAGTTCCACATTCTCTCACCAGGCTCCCAAACTCTCCTTTTCATCTGTCAGTGGAAAAGATGCTCCATTGTTGTGATCTCACCAACAAAAGAGGAAACAAGAGGATTTATGTTCACCTTATCAATCCCTTTCATAATTTTAAACACATCAAGAGAGTGCAATAAAGTACGCTGGTTGCAAACCCCACCTTTGTTTACAAACTTATCACTTGGTCATGAAAGTGTTTATAAACTTTTATGTCTTCCTATTTGGTTACAAGCTTAAAATGCGATGATGAATATCATGCATGTAGAATGGTTCACTTGCACTGATTTCATGTTACTGCCCCACTCCATATTGCACACAGTGCTTTACCCTCATCCTGCTCCTACCTCCAGAGCCCCTTATCCCCAGCAACATCTTTTGGTTTTAATTGGCTGCAAAACTACCCAACAAGCAGGATCTATGGCAATGCAAACAATTTTACTTGACTGATTTAAAATGTTACGATCTGGAACAATAAAGAAACTTCATTTAATGGCGCACACCATCTGACATTCCCTGAAAAAAACAGGGTTAAAAAANTAATTTGGCTTTAACAAGCAAAAAGCAGATTAAAGAAGGCACTGCAGGATACTGACTTTGGAAAAGAGCTTGACAAGCTGCTTGTTTGTTTAAGTCCGCAATTCAATGATATAAATTGTGTCAGATTTAATCAGATATAAGTTGCGTCAAATGATATAAATTGTGATTTATAAGTACTTATAAATATAAATCACCCTCCTACCACCTACGCTCCTCGCCCTCGACCCCTCCTGATCCCAACCACCAGTTCGGGTGTGGATCTCTGACTGTCCAGCTCCTTGGAACATCTTCCTGACATGAAAGGCACTATACAAACGTAATTTGTTGTTGTTATTGCATTACAATAGCGCCTTCATATGCCTTTAGACAATATTTTATTACCAAGTCCCTCCGGAACATACTGTCTCTGGGAGGGAGCTCCAGCATTAGATTATTAGATTTCACTCAGACAAGGAAATATCATAAGAATTTTATTTTATAAAAACTATCCGGTAAACAAACAGCTTTCCCAATTATTAGCCAAATGTACAAAGGTATAATTGTATTTGTTTGACTGGGAGCAATGTGATTTGCCACAGACAGGATTAATGAGGAATTATATATTGAAAGTGATTATATCCACTCCAGGAAATTCATTAATGTCTGTAACTGATACCAGTGGTTCTTTATGTGGAATTCAAAAGACTTTTCTCCCATTTATATTCCTTCATTTTCTTCCCCATTGTTCACTCACCTTTAGTTCCTCTTTCATACACTCAATTTTCTGCAAAGTCAGCAGAGTTTGCAATTTTAATCAGTTAAAGGACAATTTATTGCTTTTCATCAAGGTTTCTTGACCTACGTTACTTCAGTTAACCCAAACCATATAAATGCAATTGATTGTTTATCTATTAGTAAGTAGGAACCTAGTTCTTAGTCGATTGGCCGATCCCCTTTCTGGGGGTAGCGCCTTGGGACGTCTTCCCGACGTGAAAGGCGCGCTACAAATGTAATTTTGTTGTTTGTTGTTGTAATAATTCCTTCAACCAAACAAAAATAATAAATTGTTCACATCAATCCATGACTGTTTCTAGGTCACTGCTGTGCGCAATTGGTTGCCCCGTTTTGGCCTATGCAGTCAATTCACTTTACAGTATATTCTGTGAAGCGCTTTGAGATTCTCGAAGACGTTATAAGGCGGTATACCAAATGCAACCATTATTATTATATTATTATATAATGCTGAGCACAAATTGGCTGGCAAGTTTATCTGCAAGAAAATAATCAATACACTAACAATCAATCCAATAATCAAATACAAGGATTATTATTATAAACAATAACAACTTACATTTATATTAGATCCTTTCACGCGGAGTCAGGATAGCTGAAAGTTCACGCATTGATGGTTACTGGATAAAGACACTATTTGTGGAAAATAAGAAGGATGCAGCAAATGTCTAACCTGGACTGAATTGGACAGTTGCTGCAACAAATGGAATAATTCACTTGTTTTGTATTGCTGGAGGATATAGGAAAAGATTGGAGTTTAATGTCACTTTCAAGCTTAGATAATATCCAGATGGAGCTGATAAACTGACTATGCAGGCTGGAAAGGTCTCAAATCCCTAGCGTATGCTGAATTATATTATTACAGCCATAGATGCACTAACGACGCTACCATTTGTCTTAGTGCTCTTTCCACCGCCACCCCCTCCCTGCTCCACACACACACATACACACACACATATACTCACACAGAGCAGAGAAAAGAATTAGACATGGTTATCACTTGATGATTTCCACCCTCCCCTTCCCCCCCACTCCAAATGCTGCACATATATGGACGTCATGTGCACACAGGATACAGGACTTGGATGTGATACTTCCATAGTTCAGTTAAACATGTTTTCCACTTCAAAAAAACTATCGAGTGACCCCTGCTGGAAATTGCATGCATGAGAACAGACAGTGAGAGCAGATATAAATTGCTTCTGTTGTGATCAGAAACAGTTTTTGGCATCTGTAAAAGTAAGGCCATGAAGTGAGGAACCATTGTGGAACCCCAGGTGTGTTCATCTATACTTTGGGCTTTTCCCTATTACTTGCTTCTGAAGGTGATTGATATATTTGAGTAAATGGAGCCTTTAAGTACACACAACAGTAACACTAAGATTTACTTCAAGTACGCAAAGAGTCAGGAGAGACATTTTAAAGTGTCTGAGATTTTTATTGAATGCAGGCAGGTTGATACATTTTTCAAGATATTCACCTGGGAAAAAGTACCAAGAAAAATACTGATCAAATCAAAATACAATTCACTGATAACTCAAATAATAGTGTGGCGCATGATGTCAGAGGTACAAGTGTAAAGGGTCAATCTGGATAAAGGACACGGTGACTAACCTAAATCCTAAAATCCTAAAACTAGTGCCACAAAACAAATCGGTTCCATAACAGATCTGCCTGCCTGCCTGCTGGTTCTATTCCAGTGGAGATTTTTCCTTGAGAAATTAACTCTGTCCCATCCATGAAATAACCTCCCTTCAAAATCCTATCTTTAACCCTAACTAATCCCAATTGGTAGACATACATTCTATAATAAATCCATGGGAGAATGGTAAGGAATTTCTATTGCAAGTCAGATTGTCTTGGTTAATAGCTCTTTTCTTTCAGTGCCAGAAGGTTGTATGTTCAAGTGCCATGTCAGCACTTCAGCTCATGGTCTAGGTTCATACTCCAGTGCAGGACTGGCTGAGGGTGCATTGCCAGAGATGCTGTCCTTTTGGTGAGATGTTAAACTGAGGATCCAACTGAGGTCCATTTCAGATGTACTTTAAAGATATCATGACACCATTTGAAAAGAAGGGAGTTCTTGACCAACAAGCTCCCAGACTAATTGGTAATTACTCTGAGAAGCTACCTTGCGTGGAGGGTGCTATATAAGTGCAAGTTGTTGTTGTTGTCGTAATTAGCATCATGACTATTTTAGGATTCCCAATGATGCAAATGGCTACAACACTTGCGTACATTAACAGTATCTATACTTGATCGTAATTACTTGGGAAGCAAATGACACGTTTTGACGTCATGAAATGCTAGAAAATTGCAAGTTCTTTCACACTAAAGAGACACCAAACCAATACCGCGGAGATCTAACGAGAGAACAGACCTGTCGTGGAATACATTCTCACAAAATAAATCCACTAGGGGAAAGTCTCTGCGGAGGCAGATTTAACTATTCGAAGATAAAGCCATTAATGCTATCTTTAACTTGAATGAGTCACCTCAGTTTCTGGGTAATTTGTCTCGTCCCCAGTAGGTGGCAGGACTGATCCAGCAGTCAGATCAAGCACTGTGGTTGCTTTGATGAATTGCATCCACTATATATTTTATCGAGATAAATGCAGTGTGCTATTCAAAAGATACAATGTGTTTGGTCCCTAAGGGATTCTTTATTTTATTGTGTAATCCCCCTCCTCATTTTGTTTGAATTTTTGGAAAAGGGGCAAAACTTTAAAACTGATGATGTTACCATTGTGACTACTATATCTATGAAAAGAAGTTAAGAAAAACTTGCACAGCTATAAAATCTGAGTAATTTTAATTAATAATCAAATGGTACAGGACTTCGCTAATGCTACTTTGAAAAAGATTGTGTTGTTCCAATATTATTAGGGGTTCACCTACAAAATACACAGTCACAGCATATTACGGTAAATTCTGTGAAGCGCTTTGAGACATTCTCAAGACATGAAAGGCGTAATATCAAATTCAAGAATTATTAGATTATTATTTTGTGTCTTCATATTCTTACATACTGCTTGTACTTTTAATTTTTAATATCTGTTATTTTAATTCTCTATAAATACTCCAGCCATGATATTTTAAGCCATGTATATTCAGTGTGTTGTGTACATTTGATGTGACTCTTCCTTTGAAAGAATTAAGCCTTAATAAAGTTATTCCCAACAAACAAAAAATGTTGTCTCTCCCAGGAAATGGAAACTTGGAGGACAGTACTTGCTTTGTGCTAAATGCCAATAAACAGACAGTGTATATTTTTGATGCATGTTTTACAGCTTTTTAATCAGTAATCAAAAGGATCCTGCAAATGAATAACAAAACACAGGAACACAATTCACTTTCCTGACAACCGCACCCTGTTTTGTAAGCCAGTAAAACACAACATGGAATAGAATGAAAAGGAGGAAAGTTGAAAGAAAAATATTTGAACAAAGCAAGAAGTATATATGACGCCTTCTATTCGATTGAGTGGCATGTATTTTTCTCCACCAGGTCCATTCACTTAGCCGCTCACATACCTAAGTTCACAAGCAAACATTGTTAGTGTCCAAGTACTGCATAGGAATCCAGTTGTGTTTGGGTCTGAAGCCCCTGTTGAACAAGATTGACAGTAGTGTTTGCCCTGAAGTGGTCCTAAGTTTAATAAGTACTTAAGTTAATTCCTGTCTAATTAAAGTTAATACTTATT